ATAATTGTTTACTTAAAATTGTGTTCACCACCAGATTTTGACAACCACACAGAAGGTGGATTGCTTGCACAGTCAGATTTGAAATATTTAGAGCAAAGTCAGATAAAAAAAAAAAACAGGAGAAAAAGGTAAAGTACTTTTGAAGTGCATTGACACTGCAGTGAAACTTGGTGGCAAACCCAGTTGGGTGGAAATAATATGGAGAGTGAAAATATAAATATGTGTTTCTTTTCCTTTAGAAGTAGATAGTTTATTGATTTATACACCCTAATATTATTCCTTACCATTAGATAGAAGCCAGCATGACAAGTTTCTAAGTTCATCTGGTTAACTGTTATAACCGTCTCATAAAAGAGTTAGTGACGGTTTTAGATTTATTACTTTTTTTTTAGACATTGGGAGTTCAATGCTTTGTCGACAAACAACTGATGTGTAATTGTTTCCACATAATGTTCACTGTGTTGGTAGAAGTGATGTGGGTGGGTTGGAGTGGGATCATTTTCTCAATTTTCTACAACCACCATCACCATTTTAAAGATGAACTTTCAGCACCAAATGGTGCATCTGGGACTTTTAACGACTCTAAATATTGTTTTAATAGGCTGAATCACCTCACCCTTTAATCCCAGTAATAAGGAACACCAGGTTGCCATTGATTTTGGTGCAGTTGACAAAGTTGTCAATGTTGCTTGAGTCCACTGTCTGAGCTGTCTGGAGGCTGGCTGTGCCTATTCCATCACATGCTGCACAACCAAGAGAGAAAAAACAAGTTTCATTCAATTGATTATTTTATTACTTATGTAAACATACACAATATTATAGATTTATATTTTAATAATGTGAATTTTGAAACCAAGTTCCAACAGAGTTTCTATGTAGAAACATGTCATTGTATTATTTGAAATGCTAACTAACCCATTAGTGATTGAAAAAATATAATATTCAACTATTAATAAACAATTGAAATGTACATTTCCTTTGCCTTAATAATGTCCCTTCGAAAATGTGTTTGTTCTTAAGTTGAGAAATTGCTACATAAATAGAGACATGAGAAATGATTCATACTTACCTCTCTATCTGTAATGATTACAACTTTGGCCATTTCTTTTATTTTACCTTTTGGGCAGATATCTGTGCAAGGGATGCACATCTTAATCCGGTTCTCCTCCACCTCCATCTTGTTACTAGGGCATGCTCTCACACAGGAGCTGTGGTCCACCACAAAGTTATCTAGGAAAAAAAAAAAAAGTCACTGTAAATGTCAAATACAAATGGCTGCTGCTTGTCACACAAGAACACATGGTAAAATAAGTGGTAGAGGAGTCTAGGTAATCACACTGCAGAAAAGTCACTTTGGTTAGCTGTTTTCAGGAATGAAAAAAATGATCCTTCAGGAATGTGGAAAAAAAAAAACATCAAAAGGCAGAACAGTTGTTCAAATATTATTGTTTCATTCTTTTAAGGTGAATCCCTTTAAAAAAAAAACAGCAAATAAATACAAGAGTTTTTGTCAACTAATGCCTCAAGTTTTGTTGAAGCTCACAGAACAAATACTGATAAAATTATTTAATATAACCATATTGTATTTTAAAACAAGATTTTACGGTCTTTTGATCTCAACACTCTTCATTTTAGAGTATATTTTTGAAAGTAAACATTGAAGTACATTTTTTATTTCCACACCCAACAGACATGAACTTCTCTCATCTCTCAGTGGGTTGTGGTTAGCAAGCAACATTAACAGCAACAACAACAATAACAATTCAAATTCAAAATTTCTTTATTGATCCCATAGGGGAATTAAGCAGAAATTACAATCTTATTTTTATATAAGAAAATAAAATGTAACAATTAGGCATGTTTTTATTGCTCTAAATATTTTAACAATTAGATATAATGTGCATTTTTATTTGTGCCAAAACACTTTCTACGTTTGCACTAAGTCACATTCCACACCTGCTGTTTGGCCTTTTCACTCATGCTGTAAGCATGACTAGTTGCTCACACTTAATTGTGGGCTCAGTAGCTGGACAATGGCTACCAGGGCTGCGTATGCTGGTGTACACAATGAAAACATTACGAGCTGATGTCATAATGATACAAATTTAAAAAAAATATTACCATTCATGGATTTTTCAACATCATTTACAACAATTTCAGAACAAGACAGCCTCTTGGTTAAGAATACCATCTTGATTGCAAAACCCACACCGAAAGTGATCATAAAAGGATTTTTTATTTTTTTTTAGTGACAGTGTGTCGCCTGTATTTATACTCAATCCCCACCCCGCCCCCAGTGTCGTAAGTTTTCTTTCTTACAGTGATACAAGCCAGAACGTAATTTCACCAGACCACCTTCTTCCGAATATTTTCTGTTTCAATTCATGGCTTTATGGCAAGCTTTAAATATGACTTATTTTGCCTCTTATTAGATCATGGCTGACATCTTAAAACTATTTCATGGAGGTCAGAATTGTGAAGTGCATAATTAATAGTTATCTTGCAAACAGCCTATTCTTTGAGATATAGGTCTCTCCAGCTTTGGTGGAGACCCACGACTCTGAAGAATGCTTTCTCTTCACACCTATCAAGTTAGGGTGGAAAGATTTGTTGTAGTAAACTTGGAGCCCTTTAGTTCTCTTAATGTCTGTAGTTACCAAAGTTTGTCTCTGTCCGATGTGATGGATTTCTTTTTGTAATGTTCCTTGTTCACCAGTGTTCTCTATCAAAAAATGTGATTCTTTCACAAAACAGCTAAATTTAAATTGGAAGTAAAGAACACACAGGTAGATTCTAACTAACTGATCAGGGAGATTTTGTTTGCACTAAGTTTTATTTTGGGGTACTAGAGAGGAGGAGGTTACAAATACAGGCACATATTAGAATGTTTACTTGCAAAATTTTATATATATTATTTTTCGAACTGATTCAAAATTATACACTACTTTGTTTTGGTCTACCAGATCAAATCCCAATTAATACATTGAGGTTATTGATTGTAGTATGACAAATTGGGGACATTTTCAAGTGTATGAATAAGTTTGCAAGGCACAGCAGACATCCATTTCCATACTCAGGTGGGGGAACTTACGAGGGCACTTCTTGACACAGAAGGCTCCATAGGTGTACTTTGCTCTCGGGTTGTGTTCGAGTTGGAACGTGGTGGGATTGTAGACAAATGGCTGAGGGCACTGTGTAACACACGCTCCACTGTCATTGAAGTTTGTGCAGGCCTGTAAAGATAAAGACTTAACTACCTCGCCTAATCATTATTTAATTTACATTTCATGAAAAAAAAAAAACAAAAAAAAAACACAAATCTTCATGGTTTTGCACTAATATGGTAGTGCTGCAGCACACTGCATGAAATAGGATTTTAAACTGGTTACAGGATTGTTGCAGCATGTGAATAAATATGTGATAGTGTGGTTAAACATGAAGCTATTTCATAAATCTCAAATTTATATTGACTACACCACATGTGAATACCAGTTTCCCTTTGGAGTGTGGAAAAGAGTTATCAAACGGCAAAGACTGAGCGTACTCTCCCTTAAACTGATCAAATCACTTTTAATAAAAAAGAATCTGATTTTTTTGCAGCAGCTAAAGGATGTCATAATTTGTGGTGGAAACTGCAATAAATAAATTTATGAAAACAGTTTTTTTTTTTTTGTTGTTGGAATTTTACAAACACATTTCTTGTCGATGTTATGGTATCTCAAGGCCATCTTCACCAACTTAAAATGGTATAAATAAAGGGTCAACTTCTACAGCTAAATCCAAGTCTGTTTTGATTAGGAATTCAATTAAAATCCTCTCCATTCAGCTTGTTTACAAAGGATTAATTCATATAAATATATGTATAATTTTTTCTATATATAGATATATAGACTTACATTTTTACTGTCTTATATTATGCATTGTAATAAATTTTGTTTTTATCTTTTCATTAAACATTTTATTTCTGCAAGTCACAGGAACACAAGTGTTGAAATAATTGTTCCTGCGAATCAGACAACAAAATGTTATTTAGAATCTACCCAAAAATAATGTTGATACTATTAAGATAAAATCGCCATATTGATATAAGTAGTAATACATGAATTTGGACATAACTGAGACTACTTCATATACTTTGCTTTATGAACAAGAGAGGCTTTATAAGTCATCCTAAAACTGCAGGGCATATAAAAGAATGCTTTAAAATCTGATTTACCCTGCAAGGAGAATAAGACAGGATGGTTTACTAGTGAACTCTATACAGGATTTCACTTTGAAAAATGCTAAAATAAATGTATTCCTAAGATTTACCATACAAGTGATATTTATTGCAAGCTAAAAAAGTTTAAGGAAGATTTTGTCTTTGAGGTTAATGCTGAAAAATGCAATGTGGTGAATTATTTGGTTTACTGTATATCAACTAATGTTTTTCTTCATCCCCAGTACTCGGAATGATTGGTTGGTTTTGATCAATGGAAAACTCCACTTACAAAACAGTCTGTGTCCTTTGGGCCAAAGCAGCCACCTGCACACTCGCGATGGCAGCAGTCACTTACATAGGGACCAAAGCAGCGACCGTCGCACTGTTCAGCACACACCGTCTTAGTTACTGTGAAATCACAAAAGTAGGAAGGAATTAAAAGACATACTCCATGGGGTTTAGACCACAATCCGTTGCAAACACCATCCTTCCTGCACAAGTATGTGTTAAATGACAATGTCATATATGTATAATTTGTTCTTTGAAAACTCCAGCCAGTAGTGAAAGTAGCTAAGCATACTGATTTCTCTTCTCTGACATTCACATACACTAAACAAAGCCATTCAGCCATTGGTAAAAACACTGAAAAAAAAAAAACTCTAAAAGGTGAATTGACAACCATATTTGAGCAGGTGCTGGATACACTGCTGAAATGAATGGCACAATGCTCAAGTCTTCTTGCTGCCATCACTGGCAAAACTTCGTAAGGATTAGTGTTTGTGTGGTTGCATCTGTGATTTTTTTTTCCCCTTAGCAAGCTATATTCTGTCATGTTCAACCATATTTTCCTCTGCCTGTAAGCACACCTGAGGGTCTATCGCTGAATGTGACAGAGATGTAGTGATTGCCATTTAACAAGGTGCACCGCTGTCACGATGGAGAGATGCCCGTCCCTTTCCTCATGTGCCTTTTGCAATCATATGGGCTACCGTATGGCTGCGTTCCTCTCTTACAAGCAGCCATATGTCAATGCACATTGAACATGCTGCAGACAAAGATAAGTAGTAATGGGCGCAGCTTAAGTTTGAGTTTTTGGACTCATGTGAGAGATCAGGGGGAAAAACGGAATAAAGTAATAAAAAATACCCAAGAAAAGCTCCTGCAATAAATGGGTAAACTTGTGTTTGAGGATAATACTAATGTAATACTTTTTTTCTAAATATGCTACCTCTTTACATGTAATATCTTATCTGCATTGACTTATATTTAAAAATGTACATTTATGTCTTTTAATCAAAACATTTGAAAACTTTTCCTACAACACTCATCAATAAATTATAAAAACCAAAATTATTTTTTATAATTTAGCATTTAACTTCTTTTTGATTTTTCTCTGATTAATACAGGGTTAAAACTATACATACTAAGTCAAACATATGTATGTATACACCCCCCAATAATTAACTAAAAGTCCCTTAGCAGCTCAAATAACCACGCACCTCTGGGAAAATTCTTGCTAGATGTCTGAGCATTCTTCGAGCAAAAAAGGGAAAATGTATTTAACTGATCTGCTTTCTGGCAGGGGCCCACCTTTTAAGAATGCAAATTTTAATTCAGATTTCAGACTTCCTAGAACCTCAACATTGGCATGACTATCGCAAAACCTGGCTTAATGTGTTTAATGCTGCAACAGTCAGTTATGCCCAAATTTCAATCATCTTAGCTGTTGATTTGAGTTTTCAGTTGCAGAATATTGATGCCGTGTTCTTTAAGTTTCATTTCTTTATTCTTCAAAATTAATACTATACAAAACTAAAAATTACATGTAACAGTTATACATCAATGTAGAATATTAGCAACACAAAACTAGAAAGTATAATTCTCTGCATTTTTCAATGCAAGCTCATGATGTTTTGTTGGATGCTCCATTTCTCTTTCACCGTTACTCTGACGAGATACTATCAGGGTGATGGATACCCCCGCCGGAAAAGTCACCAAAACGAAAAATGTGACCAAGAGCACACACTTCACCCCACACCGAACGTACCTTCAGCGTCATTCTATTAATGGTGCCTGGACTAAAATGAAAAGGCCTGCTTTATTTAAAGACACTCCGTCAAACAAATGACCTTGCCAGAGAGAGGAAAGAGAAAGGGAGCAAGAGTAAGAGTAAGAGATGCAATGTTGTTTATCAATTTAGCTTTAAAACTTCCACTTTAAGAAAAAAATAAAAGGAAAAAGAAATAGTGCCTGGTGACAACAAATACCGAAAGAATCCATCTCATGAAATATGCCTGGGAGCTTCCATTTGAACAGACTGTGGACAGCAGCATCAGTCACAGGAGCCAGTGCCTTTCAGCTGCTATTTACATGAGCAAACATTTCCTTGCTTTTTTTTTTTCTCACTTCTGCAGTAAAACAAAAACTTTTTTTTTTTTTGTCAAACAGAAATGTTCCAAAGATAAAAGGTGTAAGTTGACCACATTTTGTAGTTAACACTGTCTTCTTGTTATAAAATATTCTGTTAAATTTTTATTTGAATTAAAGCTTAATGTCCTTCTACTGAATGAGCATACAATATAGATCAAATGCTGTTGGTAATACTTCAACCCTCCTTGAAGGCTTAAAGGATTCGGCTAGCAGTTACCTCATGCTTGCAATCAGCCTGATTGTATTTCAGTTACACAGAAAACTATCACATTTTTTGGCTCATTTTAGCTAACAAATTGAACTTAAAAAAAAAAAGATTAATATATGATTAATTGGAATACAGCTTGATCTGAACTCTAAAAACAACTATACTGTGTATTGTTTTTAACACCGATATAGATCGGATGTCTTACAAGGAATACGTAGCAAGTTTGCATGTTACTTTCTACAATTCAAAAACATGCATACGATTTTACCATTTGATTGGAATTGCCCTGAAATCGTTGTTTGTTTCCATTTTTGCTTTTGTTTCAGCTCTGCTAGGAACCTATTCAACGTATTTATTTGACAATTGCTTTGATCAAGGTATAACATTTCTTCAATGAAGCTAAGATTTTAAAACCACCAGAAAGTGCCAGCATAGACAGAGATTTGACTGGCTGTGTGTATGAGAGTTTTACAGCACTTCCCCTCCCCCACCTGTTTGCTGCACTTTGCCATTCAACAGGCTGAAAGTTGCCAACTACATTTTTTTCCTGTTACTAGAAACACAAATTTGGGCTGTATGAAAATATTAAAGAAAATATGTGCTACCTGTTACTCATGCTGTTACTACAGCTGCAATGCTCAGTGCACACTAAGAATAGTGGGGCAGAATGCAGGTTAGCATACATAGTTACATAGTTTGACTATAGAATCAGCTACTATCAGCTTGTTAGACCCAAACTATAACTATGAAAAGCAGAAAGGTGCTTTAATTTGAAAAGTAAAATGCAAATTTACCAAGCGCTTATTAAATATCAGCTATGAACTTGTCCAAGGTGAACCAGCCCCTCCTTACCCTATGACTAATGTAAGGATAATGACCCCATTTTCTAGGTCAATTTAAATTTTGATGTTTTTCAAAGACGCCAAAATGAAAGTAATTTTTATAATTCAACAATCTCACAATTAGTTTATTATATCTAACTGAACATAAAACATGTAAAGATTTTGTGGAAAGCAATGAAAGAAGACTGGATAATGACATGCACATAATGTAAAGCTGCAGACAGGAGGTAAACTGTGATAACAGTTAACCACCCACAGGAAGACAGAACTAGGGCTTATCTGGACCTAGTCAGTGATGTTCTGTCAACCTTACGTAGAGGAATAGTTTATTCCTAACTATCGTAATGAGATCAGAGCCGCAGAACAAACTCCTGTCAGAATAGAAAAGCATAAATTAAGATGTCAGAGAACAGAGTGATTGGAAGAAGGAAACTTTTTTTTTCAAGAAACGTCTTTTAATTTCCACTGGAATTGGTTGCAAACTTAAAGAGGAGAAATTGGGTACCTCTGCTCGGTTCCTGTTTAGCTGATCAGATTTTTATGCAAATGGAAAAAAGGCTTTTTTGTGAAAACTACTCCACATGAAGTGTTAAAAAGTTGGATTAGTTGTTTATTAGCATGGTACCTAAATTTTCTATAATAAAATAAGGTTTAGGATCCCCCTGCTTGCCACTTATTTGAGATAAAGGAATAATAGTAAGCAGAACGTTTTGCAAGTTATAGCAAAAAATTGAGAATGAAGTTGAGCTCTATAGAGAAATGTTTTTTTTTTTTTTTTTTTTTGGTGTATGACAAGAAATAATCTATTGCATTCATGTTTGTTTAGTTTCATTTTATACAAAAGCTTTAGCAAAACCACATTCATACCACTTTTAATAGTCCATATATGGACGACTCATAATATGGATTTTGTGTGCGATTACAGTGAGAGGACGTTTAATTTAAAAAAATAAAATAAAATAAACAAACAGTATGAATAGGTGACTCCCAAAATCAAAAAAAAAGTTAAGTTACATTTTATTCTGAATTGTAGTTGAGCCCCAAATATTTAATATGACTGGTAGATTATGATTTAAATGTATTATAATTTAACCAAAATAAGATATGCATCTCTTAAGAGAAAAGGCATGATAAATAATAATAAAGTTCTTTTCAACAATCAGAGCACAAAGCTATCTATTGTCATCACAGCAATCAAACAATTGTTAAAATTTCTGACTGGCTTCTTGCACTGTTATTTTGATGATTTATCTGTGGCGATGAGCACCAAATCTCTGAAGGACTCAATTGAAATTGAGACTCCAGCTGAGGCACTTCAAAACATTAATGACACTTCCAAAATTCCAGCCCTACTTTTAGTCTAAATCTACCATTACTACGAAGAAGGATAGTCTTAAACATTACCAAGAAATACAGTGTTTATTTGGTGTCAAACAATAACTGGATTCTGTCCACCTCCTTTTTTCCACTTAGCTTAGTCGGGTGGGGCCAGCAACATCTGCACATGTGAGAATAAACATCATTTATTTTCCGATCATTAGTGCAGCACTGAGTAATTGGGGTACACAAAATGTCAATTTAGTTTTTGTCCTTGACAAATACATAAATTAATTATTTAAATGAAAGCAGCTTTTTCTTTTGTTAGACTTTGAGGCACTACTGGTCTTTATTAGCCCCTTAACATGAAAGTGAGCTAAAGCTGTTCCTGTCTTTTACTGTACTGAACTTACAGCTTTGACAGTGGTCCTCCTTGGGGCCCCAGCAGCGCCCAGTACAGGAACGATGACACTTTTGACCTGCAAGAAAGAAGAATAAGAAAAAAAAAAAAAATCATGAAAAAGCAAAACATTAGCTAAACTTTTAGAAACTATGATCTGGAGTCTGTGAACTATGACTACAAGTACAACTGGCTGTTATTCATTTTTGTTTGTTTGTTTCAACTTGAGTGCGTGAGTGTTTTATAAAAAAAAGTTTTAATTAGCTGAACTCTTGTTTTTTTATCTTTAAGATTCATTGCTTTGTTTTAAAGACATTTTCAGCATTCTAGGTGTGTGTGATAATTCTGTTAAATTAAAATTTGAAATAACGCACTGCTTACAAGAAAAACAATTGTGAGAACTTGAATGTATAATTATAGGACACATTTGCAAATTACTTTTTTAGGCATTTCTGTCTGTTAAAACACTACCTATTCACCAATTTATACCTGCTGTTTTTAAAAGTACTTTATGTAATTGTAGCATTTGGTTGTTTTGTTAAAAAATAGGTGTATTTTGCACACAGCAATACATGTGCCAAATAAGGCAGCAGCAAAGAGAGTGAGAATAAAGCAATGGACAAGGAATAAGAGATCAGCCAATCAATCAGGCTTACTTGTGTAGCACATTTCAGCTACAAGGCAGTTCAAAGTGCTTCACATTATAAAAATACAATAATAAGAAGTCATATAAACAACATACAGTAAGCAGCACTGAAATATATCCTCAGTGCTGCAACTGGATTTCTCAGTTTTTAAGGACTTAATTTACTTTCAAGTAATTGACTAACTGTGGGAGCTGAGCCTGAATGAGGAAAAGTGCTGCCCTTTGTCCATCAGCCTCTTCAGATGAGAGCTATTAGCATTTGATGGACTCCAGTGCCCACCATGTGTCCACCGTGTGCCTCTCCATCCTCTACTTGCTACTCTTTGAGCTTTTCTGCAATATTTTCATTTCTTTCATTCAGTTTACCTATCTTTGATTCAATGGTTTTCCCTCTGTATCTCTGTGTCTTCTCCCCAGCCTCGGTTTTAGTGTCCGTTTTGTTCGATGTTTCAGAGAAAGGTGGTCTGCCCATATTATCAATGCTGGAATTTTGAATCAAGTTCTTCTCTCATAAAGAAACCAAAAGACAACAAAATATTGGCACAGATAGGATAAACACTGTAACAACATAAAGCTTTTGTGCCCCCAAAGAATGACATGAAGATAATGTTCTCAATGGTGGATTAGAAGTCTGGAGACCCTTGATCTTTTGGATGGGGTAAATGACTTACATGGGAGTCGGGGTCGTTCCGAGGCTAACAGGGCTGCAGGGAGGAGGGGGATTGAGCAGAATATCAATGCCATGAGTAGTTAATATGCATTGGAAGTCTCCAGCAAGTGTTGTGAAAAGAAATCCAAGGACATGTGCCTACTGTCTTTGTATTTTGCTTCAAAAATGGTAATGCATTTTATTTTATGATTTGACAAGAAGATTTAAATGTCAAACAGTGGGAGCACTGCATTAATAAAACCAAAAGAAGTGTATTAAGAGGCTCAATGAGCAAAATAAATGGGGCAGAGGAGGTGACTTAATTTATTCTTACTGACAATCACATCAGGCATCGACCGCCCCCCTTCTCCCTGACAGACTAAATATTGTTTTTCTCCCCTTTATTTCGATATGTCCCATTAAAACTCAATGTGTTCATTAACATGTCTTACAGCAGGTTAAAGTGGGGCATAAAAGGGATTTGAATAAGTGAAGATTATGATTTATAATAGCAAGCACAATAAAACAATAAAGTCAAGGGTGGGTGTTTCCATGTTTCCATAGCAAATCCACAATGGACTTTGAAAATGTGTATTTGTCAATACATGATTTTTGATTCAAATGTGATAAATTGTGATTGACTAATTGCACACCCTGCAGTTAACTTAGTAAAAAATATTGAGTCCCACCACTAATTTGTTTTCTCTCTTAACAGTCATGCATTATTTCATGTTGGGCTATAAACAGGGGACAAAATATGCTGGTTTTAAAGAGGGATGATCACTTTTGCAAATCATATGTGAAGAATAAGTTTAAAAGAATGTAATCAATCAAATTAATTGGTTACATATTGGATGTTTACAAAACATAACAAACAGCAAATAAACAAAAAAAAAGAGTTAAGTAAATTCTTAAACCCATCAGTGATTCACCCAAAAAATGAGATTGTTTGGTCTAAGCACACAAATCATTAAAAAAATTGATCTCTTCTAAGTTTGTTAAGTTCTAAAGCAGGAAGTTAGACATCTGTTCAGCACTTCAGAAGTCTGAAGTACTTAGAAGTTGTGTTAATGCCAGCAGCACAACATGTGTTCACTGAGGAAGTAAAGTCTTTGTGCTCCAACTTATATTGTGAGGTATCTAGCTCTTGCAAACAACAAGAAATCACACGGAAAAATAAGATACATCTAGTTCTCTGTATGGATGTTTTTAATAATTAATCATGCAACCAACAGTGTTATTGAAGCACAATGTAAAATCAATGCAGTATCCTATTAAACCCAAGCATTGGAGTGTAATGATTAACCTGTGGTTATACTATGCATCCTACAGAGTAAATCAATATAGCTGTGTTTATACAGGATAAGAGTGTCTCGGGGGAGAAAAAAAAAAAAAAAAACACCCTTTCATCTTATGAAACCTTGAACAGAGCAGAAAATGTAAGGTAAATTGTAGTAGGATCACTGTTCTATTAGATGGCCTGTCTTTATAGTTACTTACATATAACACTGCTGTTAGTGGGTACCACTATAGGATGAATCCTTGGATACTTGACAATGTCCTGCCAGTGGATTGTGTCTGCATGGCAGAGGAACTTGTTCTGGTCAACATACACACCTCCTTTGAGAATCTCTGTGGACAAAAGAAAGACAACACGGTCAGCTGTGACTTTCTGGATTTGCAACAGTTTTTGCCCGCAATGTGTTCAAAATACAGCTTTTATTTTTGCTCGACTACAGAAATCTTTCAACAGTCAACTCAATATAATTAACCAGTTTCAACACCAGCACTGTTAATTATATTTCCTTTACTTTTAGTGCAAAAGAGGCCAACCTTTAGGGGATTACACTTTATTCCATCCGATTTAACCGGAATTGCCCCATTTTACACTTGACCAGCCCCGTCAGGTCATGAAGTCAGAGGAAGCACAAAATGTGCAAGGAGCTTCAAGAAAGGAAAGGAAACTTTTAAAGATATTTTGAAAGGCTATGTTTTTTAAGCATAGTGAAACCTTCATAACAAAAAGTTGAAAATATAAAACAGAAAGGCTGTGCTTTTTTCTTTTGGAGAATCCATTTTAGTGATGGAAGATTCTTTATACAAAATGACAGTCTAAATTCTCAAAGTTGGATGGGATCTGCTAACTTTACATACAGAGAGAGAATGACGCAGATATGACACACAGTTAAATACCGTATAAGCACAAATATAAAATGTCAAACACTTTAAAATGCTAACTTTTTGGTCTTTTTGTTTTGAAACGGTTTTGCGGCTTAGCTGACTAACACACAGTGTCTGCTTTTATTCTGCTCCTAATATAAATAAGAACAAATCACAGCAGAAAAGCTGCTTAAAGTAAACAAAACAGAAAAAAAAACAATACTTAAGAATCTAACACACAGCAGTAAATGGAATCTTTTAATAATGAGGTGGACACAGTTCTTCATCATTTAAAATTATATTCCAGCATAAACTGTAAGATGTTGTGATGTAGCAAACTTTTACAGTTACAAATGTGAAAAAACAAAAGTGAGTAAATTGAAACCTATGCCATGAATAAAACATGATGTAGTTCTTTTTAGTTGGCATTTCAATGTACCGATCCCTCTGTTCCACAACTTGAAGCAGTTTAGTGTATAGATTTCCAGGGATAGACAGCTCTATAACCTCTGACTTTTTTTTTAAACCAAAAACTTTTTATGAAGACATTTACATTTTCAGTTTATACATAAACTAAAATAAGGTTGTTATTTGTGGTTTTCACAATGAAATCAGAATCAGTTATGGTCTAATTTGGCAGGTGTGAGTATTACAAAAGCAATTATCAAAAATTTGTCATGCCATCTTAGAGGGATGCACAATTAGTTTAACACATTGGCCTAAATATGTTGTAAAATTGTTTGTGATATGCCAAAACTCATAATTATTAAAAAAAAAAAGTGTAACTTTTGTTATATTTTTTCATCTATGGAGGTTCCCGTTTTTTTACGGGTTTTACTGGGTGAAGGTTGGGTCAGTTCTGCACTGGAATCTACAGTGTAAACACAGTAAGGCTAGCTTTACCCGAGTTGTTTTTTTTTTACCAAATTATGTTTGACTGTTGTAATGCCACACTGCGGTGCTGTTGGCAGTAATTTAGAAAAAAGAAAAAAGAAACTGAGCAAAATAGTGAGGTGAGTCTGGATGGCCTCCCACAAAAAAGAGCACAGTGGGGAAAGAGCTGAACACAACTTTTGAAGGACCTACATTTTCACCCTCAATGTTTCTCTCCAGAAGACTCTGAGCCATGTGTACAAGCAAAATTGATCAAGTATCTTACAGGTGGTCATTTCCCTTCGAAGCTAAAACAAAATGCAGTGAGAGAGTTTTTAGCCACAATACGCCTAAATCCTAATGCCGGCTAGCGAGAGAAAGGCACTGGGAGAAACATCAGACAGGCAATGCTGGAAGCGCTTTTAAATGATAACAAAGCTATTCTTACTTTTGTCCATACTGAAGGTGAAACCAAGAACATGACATCAAACCTAAGACTGGACGTTAAACGGGTGTTACCAGACCAGACAGCGCTGCTTACAGAACTACTAACCGGATCACACAGTCCGACAGAATCTTCCATCACTAAAATGAAAAGGTGCGTGCCATTCATTGATTCATTCACAAAGCTGAAGGTGGCAGCAGCAGCACAAACACCAACTTCTTCAGCCAATTCTGTCCTCATCATCGTCATTAATCTTTGAGAATTCCACATTGCTATCAATCCCAACACGCTCCAGTACAAAATGAAAAGGCTTAATCTTACTCACAGCTGTTTTAGCTGGTCGGAGCTAGTGTAATGGGACCAAGCATGTCATTTACCCAGAATCCATTGTAGTGTAAACAACATGGCGACATTCATGTGACTTTTTTATTTACAAAAACCACATACAGTATTACTGTATTGTTTTTACATTTAAAATAAACATTTCTAAATTAAAAGTCTCTTTGACAACTATTCATAAATCCCTTTAAGAAGTTTGTAAAACTTACATTTTATTCAAGTAGTGACGCTCATATACCTATGATTTGCACTTCTTTATCAAACCAAGGTTTGATTTCTTGGTCACACATGCATAAATATACACAAACATTCATGAATATAGATGGTGGTTTAGATTATTTTTGTGCTTGAGTTTACATCTATACAATCCTAATGTTTATTTGAGCTACATAGAGCAGAAAAGAGAAAGAAAACAAATGAAGATGGCAGAAAACAGCACAGTGACAGACGATGAAAAAGAAACACAAAGTAAAGCCCAAAACCAGATTTGCATTATTTACAGAGCTTGTGTGTTCTCCATCTCCATACAAACAGCTTACTGACACGGGGCTAAAACCAATGAGACCCATAATCTTACATAAGGCGTCCTGCCAGCCCCGCACAGTACCGGCCAAATATTCTCACAAAATTTTGATTAAATTATGCTTCTTGGGAGGGGTGGTGCTGGTCCGATTCCACAGGTTTCCATCTCCTGACTTCAGTTCTTCATCTTCATCCCACTACATGTGCAGTAGGGATAGGGAAATACATAAATTCTGCTTCTCACCATAGGAGGGATATCACTCATTCATGAGGATTCCATGTCACAAAAATCTGATTGTCTTCACAATAGGATACAGCTGGCAAAGAAAGATGATGGACAAGCCAAAAAAAAAAAAAAAAAAAAAAAAAACCCTCGAAGCCAAGTAGTTATGTCAAAACTGCCAGGAGGGTCTCTCAATCTTACTCTTGAATCAAGCATCCACTGTACACCATCCAACATTTATGAGAATTCTGGTTGGTTGCTTGATAATAAGGACCAAAATACAATAAATGTTGCTGTAAACATGTCAATGGCACAAGAGGACATGTGTCATGAGTAAAACAAGTATCTTCATTTACAGTTTGAATTAGATGTTTACATACACCAAATCTCGCTGTCTTAAGTTAAATCAGACTACACTCCTCTCATGTCAGTCTCTTGTCCAATTGGCACAAGAAGAGAGAGAATACATTAGAGATTTATCCATTAATGTTTACTAAATCAGAAGTTCACATCCATTTCCTCAGTATTTGGTATCATTGTCTTTGAACTCCATGACTTGACTCAAATATTTATAGCCAAAATAGCAAACTGTTTCTCACAGCAGTTTGCTAGATTCTTTAAGTTGACGACAGGTGGGCTTAGTTATCAATTTGAACTAATGTGGAGTACTTTCACATTTTTAGATAGCGCGATATGATTTATGTAGAAGTACACTGATTAAAGAACCTCTTCTTCCACTACCACCATTGAGAAAAAAAAAAAGGATTCACTTGACTTTGAACTCTAAGCTATACGCAATTTCTCTGGAAAGTCATTGTGCTCTCTAGAGAAGCTCTATTGGCTGAGGAAGGCACATATAATACATAAATGTAATTCCAGAATGTCTTCCTAGTTCCTGTGAGACTGGGGAAAAAAGGCATGAAACATGCCACAATTTCATCAAAGCCCCTGGCATCTAAATTTTGCACAAAGTGCCCTATGATAAGTTCACAGTCTTACAGTCATGCCTCTAATAGAGGCTGGGAGCAAAAGTTGGAAATATTATTCTTGAATCTCTATATGTATACAAAACCCACAGGAATAATGTGGTATTTATATCTATAGAAATGACACAATTTGAAATCTCCATGAACCAGGCATTTTGTCCCTTTATTGTTTGTTTTTATAAATTTTTAACAAGTACATTTTGCATGCAACAAATACTCAAATTAGCCAGTTTAATGAAACAAATTAGTTTTGTGTTTGTTCTACAGAGAAATGCCACCAACCTTTGGAAATACCTTTGTTTGGTATAAAATACACAACTTTCTGAAAATAATGTAGTGTGTTTAGATAATGAGGCCCCAAAAAGTACTGTAAATCATCTCTTCCTGACACTCTGAAAGCCAACACAAAAAGCAACTTCAGTTTTGTTTGTTTTTTTTTCACTAGGTCTGCATTATCTGAAGTTGATTGAAAGCAGAGACAAACTCATCTGTGAATGACAAAGCTACAAAGGGTTAGCTGCCAAAATGTGGTTAAATAAAGATTTGAAAATGCAAGTAGCAAAACACAATTATAGATATTTGTGCAGAAAAAGAGAAACAAGAAACGGCTCACAAAATAAGTCACAAAAACATATGTCCAACGGTATTTGAATGACATTGTTCCCTTATAACTGGTTCTTTATTGTTTATAACTGTTTATAACAATTGTGCACTCACTCTTATATCAAGAAAAAAATAAATATTTTATAAGACCCCTGATAATATACTAAACCCATATTGGCTTTGTTTTCATTAGAAGGACTACTTTGCTTACTCGGTATGTATCAAGAAGCCAGAGGGGGGTCAGTGGTTAAATCTTGTTGTAGGAAGGGGAAAATGTCGTAATTAATTTTTCCCAAATAGCGATAGTGCAGCTCACGATTCTAAATTTATTTCTCCTCTCCAATCTGTTTCTCTGTATTAAAATGTGTGTTTAACAAGTTTTAGTCTTTTGTGTTCTAGATAAACTTTACTGCTTCTGTGCAATATTGTCAGATAACTGTTTTGTATACTGAATATTAATTACAAATATATCATGATTTTA